CCCACCCAAAGTGGGGAGAGAGCCAACGCGTGCGAATGCCCTCTAAAGCCCAGCAAAAAGGCTCATAACGCGGCCGTTTCTGATGAGACAGGTAGCACCCCACCACCAGCAAAAGACAGCCTCTCACCTCAAGCAGCTGCCGGGTCACTGGGCCCTGGCGCCGCACAACGACTGACCTCTCCGTACCTGCACACCACCTCCCATCAAAAACTACATCTGCACGCAACGTATCCCTCGACCCCAACGCCCTCTGGTACCCAACAGCAAACAACAACCATCAGCATGCAGCCTGATGGCTTTGTCACAACAACAACCAGCCCGGCCGTGCTTGCAGAGCTGGAAAAGGGTGGAGAGTACCTTATCCTGGGGGACAGTAGCCAGATCCGCCTGATACGCTTGAGACGCTCTCTGGCTAAGCTTTTCAGCGGGTGGGTGCCCACCTTTAAGTTCACGGACGAGCAAATCAGCTATAGCCAGAGGAACAAACTTACTTTTTTCATCGGGAAGATCCCCTCGGCGGACGTGATCGAGAAGGTCAGGCAGACGCTGGAGGAGAAATTTGGCGCGGTGGAAACCTGGCAACCCCCGGCGAGGCAGGACAACTACAGCGTGGGAGCAGTGTTTGCTGAAACGGACACAGTGAGTGCCTGTGCGGGTCCGCCCGTCGGATGCGCAGGGCCCAGACCAGCGCGCGCTCGACTGGCCACTGAGCCAGCTGCAGCAAGGTGCACCAATACAACAGCCCACCCCCGCCCTACTAGCCATACATGGCTGTTAGAACAAAAGCAGGAGGCGAAAACATCCCTGCGGCATGGGACACCAGGCCACGCAGCAGCAGCTGCGTGGGCCCATCCGCATCATGCAGCAACAAGTGGCTGGGCACCAGCCCACCTCCTGCCCTACATCACTCATACCACCATTCAGGCTGACAAGCTATTCTACGGGGTCGAGACCCTCAAGCTCACCCCTGCCGAGGGCGCGATCAAGCTCCTCATCCCTAACCGCTACTATGTCGCGCCCGACGACCTGCTGGCGGACGCGCGCACGTCCCAGTTTTACTGCCCCCGGCTCGCTGGCAAAGATCGCGCCGAGATTGAGGACATCCTCGCGTCAGCCCTGGCCAGCGGCAAAATTCCCACCGACATGGCGCGCCTCCTCAACCACACAGACCTGAAAGTGCTGCGGACGCCCGCCGGGGACTGCGAGCTCACCCACATGTCAATCGACGACTGCTATGAATTCACAGAGAAGGCGCAGGCGGGCGAAATCAGCTTTGAGTGCGACGGCGTCCACTACACCCTCAACGTCAGGGACGACGACTACCAGGCCCCGCCGCCGCCCAGCGGCCAGCGCGTGGTACGCATTCGCAAGCCCGCCATCCTCATCGTCGCCCCTGCGAGCACCCTGTGTGGCGGCAAGGCTGAGACAGCGATCAAGGGCCTGATTGACGGTTTCAAGGGGATCGGCATCACGCTGTCTCTTGCGGCCACCCGCGCCGTCTCCGTCAGGGGCGCAGTCGGCATCCGCTTTGAGGTGCCAGACGTGGAGACTGTGGCGGCCATCATGCAGCACTACCTGACCACGGCCGGCTCCCCCCCTGAGGGCTGCGAGCGGCCGCCCAAGGCTGAGATCAGGAAGATGGCACGCGTCTGGACTGTGGGCCGCAAGCCGGCTCACCCCATGTCCCCGGCTGGCAGCCTCCTGGGCAAATCAGAACCTGCGGGCCACGAGAAGCTGACGGTGGCCAAGATGATCTATGGGGCGGCAAAGCACAATGTCACCTACCGCCGCTACGTGGACGCCACTGAGTGGGGCACCAAGGAGTTCATCACCGCTGGTGAGAGCCGGCTAGGCCTGCAAACACAACCCAAAGGCAGCGGCGACCATATGGCTGCATGCAGCACGCGGACACCAGAGCCTTGCCAAACTTGCAAGACTGCCACTGCCCTGCTTTGGAGGGACGCCCTGTGTGAGGGAGGCCAGTGCATGCGGCTGAGGAACGAGCCCTGCGCCGCACCCGCCCACCCCAAAACCCCCCCACTGCGTAACGCGCCGACTCGCCGCTCCTCAGAGGCCGGCAAGGCCTCCGGCGCGGAGGGTGGGGACCTGGAGGGCAAGGACAAGGACCAGACCAAAGAGGGTGCGAGGGGCGTGGAACTACGCCAATGCCAGGGAACCCGGGAACCCGCCCCCGCAGCCCCCAGCCATGATTCACCAGTCCCAGCGACAAGCGAGAAAGCACCCCAAACGCCGATGCCTACCACCTTGTGTGAACCCCTAATCCTGACAAGGGGAGGGACCCCCCAGCATCCCACCTCCTACCACCGAAATCCTCGCAACGGTGCACACATTATCACACGCACGCACCCACGCCCGCATGCGCGCACCCTACCAGACGAGCGCAACCCGCAGAAGCGGGCAGGGGAGCAGGAGGAGGGAGGCAACCCCAAGCGCCTGGCGGGTGACCCGGATGTGCAGGGCGCCGACAACATGGAGACGGTGCGGGTCCCGCGAGCGGCTGGCACTGGGTATGGAATTCACAGCCCCGCAATCGGACTTGGCCTTGCCTCACAGCAACCTCTAGGAATTCGGCCGTCCCCCACACCCCCTCCCTGCCACAACCACTGCCACAGTGACGTGAGCTTCGGCTCGGTCGCGGACGGAGATGAGTACGGCTTGGGTCGACCACCCCAAGAAACGACACTAGTCGCTGCCTTGGGACCCGGATGGAAGGAGGGGGCGGCGGTTCCAACAGCGGCGGCGGTGGCAGTAGCAGTCGCGCCATGCCTGGCGTTGGATTGTGTGGGCCGATGTGTGCCGTCCCCTGTGCCGTCCCCTGCCCATAGGCCTATTGAAAGGCGAGCTGCACACAACTCACCCACTTGGCATTACTTGCTCAGTAACACAGCATGCCTGCTGCTCCTCTGTAGGACTGCCCATGGAAGTTCAGAACCTAGCGGATGCAACGCAGCTCAAAACATGCCAGCGGACCAGAGGCCTGCTGCTGGTCAAATGCCTTGCCACCTGCCCCGGCCGTCCTGGCTACAAATGCAGCCCACATGGAGGCACAAAACCCAACGATGCGCAGTGCCAATGCCCGCAGAACTACCTATGCTATTCATATCAGCGCTAACTGTGGCTGCGATACTTGCCAGCCGCCGACCCTCCACAGGCGCGCACAGCAGGCGCACTGGCGATCAACGCGCACACACGGGCACCGCGGCCCGCGCCCCTGGTCAACCCCGCCCCCTGGAAATCGCCCGCAGGCGCCTCCACCCCCACATCTACCACAGACGGCCCCCACCACGACGCCTGTCTGAATGGCCCCCAACCTCCCCCCTGCCGCCGGCTGGCTGGAAAGCAGTGCACGTCAAGTCACGCAACGCACACTGGGAACAATTTCTGACACTGCAAGAATGCCTTAAACGCAAACGGATGCAGGGAAACAAACAAAAAGGAGGGAGCCCCCCAGCTGGACATGCGCCGCCACCGCACCGGCGGGCGCGCGCACCGTCACCTGGATACGTGGACCCGGCCTCGGTGGGGCTGTACTGTGAGCCGCAGAGGGAGGGATTCTGCGGGGTTCACGCACTGAACGCATATTTTGGACAACGCCTCATTGATGGTCCCGAAA